TGTACAAATGTGCTTTACACAATTGATGTATGTATGGATTGTGATATGAGTTGTATGAGCCCCTAATAAAATGATTTAAATAAAAAGAAATTATGGGCCTGAATATGAAGGGCAACTTTTTAAGACTTCTGACATAACCAAACACCTTTAAAGAATGAGTCACTGGATCTGAGGGCTGGTGACCATAGTCTCAGGAGACACCCAGGTCAATAGGCATAACACAGTCTACAAAGACAATATTCTGCATTCCCTTTGGTGGGTACGTCAGGGGTCTTAAAAGCTGGAGAGTGGCCAACTAAGGTTAAGTATTAGTCTCTACCTGTACAGAAGAGTGAACAAAATTGGAAACACATGGAAACAATTAATTCAATGGATCACAAAAGCATCCCTCCCCATGGTCCCGGGACCCCAGGAACTACAATGGTGCCCAGCTACCACTCCCAACTGCTCTGAAAGGGGTGGGAGGTAGGGGATCACATCAGAAGGTGTTCCAACAGAATGGGAGAAAACTGTGGAACAACACTCAAAATCATTTTTTAAAAAGCCAGGCCTACTGGTCAGATAGATTGGTTGAACCCTGGTCACACTTCAGGCCACAGTTGGCCCTCGGTCACACTTCAGGTCTGGAAATGAATTAACCTAAAGGCTTTCTGCTCCCATAATGATGTGCAGTCTCCAAGAACCCACAGGAGTAATCGTACCCTGCCCACAGAGCCGCTGTGAATCAGAACAGGCTCAATGGCATTTGGGTTTGTGTTTCATTTCACCTTGCTCTGGCTTTGTCTCCCCTCTCCTGCGCTCTCACGCTCTGTGGAGGTACTAATCGGCTGCTAATTGATTGATGGTGCAAATGGGTTAATTGTGCTCAGCTGCTAACCAAAAGGTCTGGGGTTCAGTCCATCCAAAGTGTCCTCCTTGTAAAAGGGGTCAAGCACTTTATATTTTTAAAAATCAGTCACTGAAAACCCTCTGCCACAGTAACACCCGTTGGAGCTGCCAGAAGACAGAATCTACTTATGGTGAATTTCCACTTTTCCCACTTCTTTGGATTAGAGGTTACAATATTCTGAAGTTCGAATGCTAGGCTTGGACTACTTAATTTAGCTATCGTCGATAGGCTCGTTTTTTCATCTGTAAGAGAGATGGGTAAGCGTTCATACTCACAGCCTCACGGTGACAATATAATTTAAAAAGTAATTTATGAAAAGCGTTTCGGATGGACCCGCGTGCAGTTTCATAACCCTGATGCATCATTGGGTCTCCACTGGAGGTCCCGCCCCATCTGCCTCTTCCTTTCCTCTTATTGGTTTCTCGCCTGCCAATCACCCACGAGCCCCGCCCTCCTGAAGCCCGGCAAGTTTTCCCGCTTTACAACCAACCCCACCCCCTCCCGTGCCGGTTCCTTTGCATACAGAGATCTCACGCAGACCATCCCCCTTCCTTTTCGATCCCACCAGGGCCTGCCTTTTCCATCCTGCAGCTACCCGTCTTCGGCTTTGTTGCTGTGCGACGCGACGCGACGCTCACCCGCCTCACGGCTCCACCGCGGCCAGGTTAGCGGCGAATCCGCTCAAGGTCCGTCAACGAACGTCACGCCCCGGCGGCGCAGGCTCCGCTACCGGCCCCGAGCCACTGCGCATGCGACCCGCGGGGCGCGCCCCGCCCGCGCGCACGGCTACGTGTACGTGCGTCCGCTCGCTGGAGTTTGACGCTGCGCTTGCGCGGTGACCTTGGCGCGGTTGTTGTTGCCTGTTCCTAGCACTGGGAACTCTGGAATTGTCCGAAATCCCGACCTTAGCCACGGGGGGTAGTTCCCTCTCTGCCTGTCCGGTTCAGCCGGACTTAGGGATCTTCGTGCCATATGCACAAAGCTCCCGAAAGTTGTTCAGCAATCTTCATCAAACTCCCTAGGGATTGACGTGCCCTAGCGGAGCATCCGCAAACCATTCCGGTTCTTAGCTTGTCTGTACT